AATACGTTTGATTTGCTTCGTAAATAGAGGCGGTGGGAGAACGAACTAACCAAATTACACTAACAAAATCTACAGATTGGCTCAGCCCTCGTGCGTGTTACAATAACTCGTGGTCTGAAACAGGCTGGCACTGGCTACTTACATTCGGATTCCGGGTAAATAACAACATCATAACGCTTCAATTTTAGCCAATTCAACCCGTGGAGCAAATGGTTTTGTTATTTACCTGGAATCCGAGTGTAAATAGCCAGAGCCAGTCCGTTTCGGACCACGAGTTATTCCTAACTAACACTAACATGCATTTCCACTTCGGACTTCACTCAAATTCCAACGCAAAGAAAGAACAAATAGAATATAATATAATCCTTACCATCATTGGTGCTGCCATCAAAGATGAATCGAACCAAGTTGTAAACGAATTCATATGATCGAACATTTCGATTTCACTTTTATTCATGGTCACATATTGTGGCGCACGCGCGATTCAAATTTCAATTATCCGTCGTTTAAGTGCAAATAGCATATTTTGTTATTTACACTCACCGGTCAAATAGTCATATTTTTTATTTGCACTTATGATGGAGTGTAAATAGCAAATTTTGCTATTTACTCGGAATCCGAGTGTAAATAGCCAGTGCCGTTTTGAGTGTTAATTATTGCTGATTATGATTATATGAAACTCTTCAAATGAAAAGTGATATACCATGCAGTAAGTAGTTGAGCAAGTGTAATACGCAGTAAATAGTTAAGCACCGATCCAAAAAACTTTCAAACTCAACAAGTAATTATAAAGAGTTCTTTCGTGTTTAGTATTAATATAAGTGTGAATCATTTTGGAAATGATTGGAACAAAAATAACTTCTTTAATTTTGCTCAATTATTACTTTTCCGCACACCTAGTGTAGGAAAGGTATTGTATTAGGCCAAAGAATAAAAGTCACCCCAAAACATGTTTTCTATGCATATTTCATGTGGAAAACACGATTGAAGATGATTTTGGGGCATATTAATGTGCGTCGCTGTGTGTGATGTGTCCTGTGTCCTGTGACTCCTTTTTTTGTTACCGCGATAAGTCTTCTTCCGAAAACTCAATTCAAATTCTGACTTTACAGGATGATTTGGGACCACTAGGAGACGTGCTGATTAGTTTTTGAGCAATATCTGTTGAACGGTGTAATTTTTTTTGGTCCGAATGGAGTATCCACATCCATACATTTTTTACCATTTTTCAACCATTTTGATGACACGATGGATTCGTGCTCAGACATGAAAGGGTCTCTTAGCAATTGTATGACACTTTAGTAAGAAAGTAGTTCCAACTATTTACCAATAGATGGCGACACATAAAATAGCAACTTCGAAACAAATACGCATTTTCTATACTTATCGTAAAAAATGTAATAAAAAATCGCGTGCTGAGAAAAATAGTAACAATAATTATTATACACTGGGTATAATAGACAAATATTTATTTTTTCTCAGCACGCGATTTTTTATTACATTTTTTACGATAAGTACAGTAGATTGCCAAATGTCGACACACGACCAAATGTCGGAATACCGATAGGTGAATTGAAATTAAAAATCGAAAATTCGTTTTAATTGCATTTTTAAAAACAAATTATGAATGATCAATATCAAATCTATATATAATAATCCAAATATTCATCAAAAATCTATTATTGCTTTCAAAAGTTAAACTATATCATTTTTAGACGAGCCGGTAAAATGCATTTTTTGGTATGAAAAAAATAACTACTTTGAAAAAAAAATTATATCTGCGAATTGTAAAGAAAAACAATTATATTTATGTTCCATTTTTCACTGTAATATTATTCCGGAATAAATAGTCCAATTGCCGACACATAAAGCCGCATAAAGCGCCGAACATTTCAAGTGAAACACTTTTGATTTGACAGATGTGACAGTTATGTATGTATTTGGATCATTGTGAAATTCAAACCAAATTTTAAAATATTTTTGCCATTTTACTATGGGAAAATAAATAAAATTAAATATGGAGCAAAAATATATCAATCTAATAATTTTAACTCCAATATTTTGTATTGTTTACCTCAATGTAAAGAGTGCGTTCATTAACTGTCAAAACTTAAAGTTGTACAAGTTTCGCAGTGAAAATTTATGAAATGTGTCGAGATTAGGGAGTCGAGATTTTGGACGATGGATATCCGACATTTGGAATTTTCGATGTTACGACGAAAAAATAGAAAAAAATAATACATTTTTAGAAAATACTTTCTTTTGAGAAATGTGAAATGAAGCACAATTAAATTCTGCATCGAATTGTGTATACAGTACACATGTTGGAATACCGAGAGGTGAATTGAAATTAAAAGTTAAAAATTTATTTTAATTGCATTTTTAAAAGTAAATTATGAAAGATCAATATCAAATCTCTTTATTATAATCCAAATTTTAATCAAAAATCTATTATTGTTTTCACAAATTACGTTCAAAAAAATTCGGTATTTTTATCACTTTTTCACGTCAAAAGTAAACAAGCCGGTAAAATGCATTTTTTCATATGAAGAAATTACTAATTTGGAAAAAAATATATGTCTACGAATTGTAGATACTTTAATTTAGTTATTGAACAGAAATATTGAAAATATAAAGAAAAACAATTATATTTATTTTTCATTTTTTACTGTAATATTATTCCGGAATAAATCGTCCAATTGCCAACACATTAAGCACCGAAGTTTCAAGTGAAACACTTTGCATTTGACAGATTGTGAAATTCAACCAAAAATATTATAGATCAGTGAAATAACATAATATTTTTAAATATTTTTGCCATTTTATTGTGAAAAAATAAATAAAATTAAATATGCAGCAAAAATATATCAATCTAATAATTTCAACTTCGATATTTTGTATTGTTTACCTCAATGTAAAGAATGCGTTCCTGAGCTGTCAAAACTTAAAGTTGTTCAAGTTTCGCAGTGAAAATTCATGAAATATGTCGAGATTTGGGAGCCGAGAATTGGACGACAAATATCCGACATATGGAATTTTCGATGTTACGACGGAAAAATGGAAAATAATAATATATTTTTGGAAATTTCTTTCTTTTGACAATTGTGAAATGAAGCACAATTAAATTCTGCATAGAATTGTGTATAGAATGATATTTTTAGATGAAATCAAAAGTGTTAAATATTAAATTGAAGTTGAAAATTCAAACAAATAGTCCGACATTTGGGCGAGTGTCCATATAGGAAATGCGTATCTGTTTCGAAGTTGCTATTTTATGTGTCGCCATCTATTGATAAACAGTCAAATTACAAATTTACTATTATCTAAGAGCTCCTTTAAAATCTGACTTTACGGGATGATTGGACACTACTAGGAATAGATCTAGTCAAATTTTCAATGACATTGATTGATCGGTGTAAAACTTAGACTCTGAAGAGGCATATATGAAAAAAATGCCTTGAAATGATTTTCTTTCAATTTTAACGCTGAAATAATGTATAGTGGGGGGTGTTTTGGTACGAGAAACCCGAATCTGATGTCAGTTTTAAGATGCAATCAATTTTACACAGACTTTTCATACGAGAATCCACAAAAAATTCATTTTTGTGTGAAAGACATGCCTTTGTGGTACCATAATGATGTGAAACTTTGAACAGGCTATTTTTTTGATTGAAATTTCTTTAAACTTGGTGTGATTATTTATTTTGTTAAGAAAATAATATTCAAAAGTTTTCACGGTAATTTGGGTTACTGCAACCATATATAGACCATAATTTCAGTTTATTCTCAAAATTTCGGTTCCATGCGGAAAAGTCAGCTTGCGTACGTAAACCTCTTTATTTTAATTTTGGAATGAAACATATAAAACACAAGGAAATGCTAAAAATGTGGAAATAAGTGAAAAAGTTTTATCAAATTACTTGTCCGATTCGGTGGAAATTTCCTTCACATATTAAAAATTCACGAATAAACACATTCTCGTGAAATCTATTCTAAAAAAATGAACCCATTTAACAGCACAGCACATTGACTGTATACATTCCTTGTTTCATATAAAATTAAAAATTCGTCGGGAATGCGAGTTCAAACGCGGACAAAAATTCAGTTCGTGTAAAGCTTTACAAAGCTCAGCAGAAGAAATTCAACGAGCTAAAAAAGGAGTTTTTTCCGTCAAAAATAGTGGATTCACAATTTAAATCAGTAAAAGTACACAATGGTTTTAAAATTTGTTAAGATTCATCTAAAATTTTTGGGTCTTTTGTATCCAAAAAACGAAACGACATTTTTTCGGAATGGTCTTGTTTTTCTATCGCTGGCCATTTTTACGGTTCCAACATTTGGTTTCTTTCTGTTCGAGGCGGTATCATTTGCAGACTATGTAAATTCATTCTTTTTCACGTCATGTGGTATTTTAGGCATATCATTGAACGCAGCACTGTTATGGGAAAAATCCAAATTAAATGAATTAATTGTTGAATTGGATGGAACCTTTAAAAGGAGACGTAAATTTCAATTCCTATTTTTACAAAATATTTCTCTCGAAGTCTAAATGTGCAATTGTACATATTAATAGGCCAAAAAAATATATTGCTGCAATCAGTTTATGATGAAGCTGAAGTGTTGATTGAGTCACGAACAAAATTAATTCACATCGTAATGCTAAGAGTATCAGTTCCCGTCATTGTGCTTCAGTTTATATTTTGGTCAATCGTTCAATATATTCGATCTGATTTTTCCAACGATTCTTTTCATTTAATTTATCCATATTTGTGAGTACTGTATTTTCAATATTCGAGTCAGCAAGTTGCTGATGAACAGAAATTTCGAGAAATTTTGAATATCAGATAGCCCAATTCAATTTTAAATGGTTCTTAAACTAATTTCAGGGTGCCGTTCAATTGGAAATCACCATTGGGATATGCTATTGTGATACCTTTTCAATTGATTGGCATCGTAAGTTGCTCTGAAGTGTGTGTCATTGTTTTGTGTCTGTTCACCGGACTTTGTTTGGTGGTGACATCGGTAACATCGGACATCGAAATAAATTTAAACAAACTAAATGAACAGGTTTCGCTAGCGGCACATGGATTTAACGTTAAACAGTACATAGAAATAAAAAAGTGCCTTTTTGAAACTATCAAATTTCATGCGACGTCACTGGGGTATATTTTTTGATTTGTGATCAGATAATATATTTGGATTTTGTCATCTGGATATTTCAGCTCATCTAGATGACGTCCAACAATGATACGGAGTGAAAATAATAGAAGTGATTGTTATAGTTATGATAGTATAATATTTTTATACCTATAACAATTACTTCTATTGTTGTCGCTACATTTCAGCGCCTGACTTCAGCCAGATGAGCTGAAATATCCAGATGATAATATTCAAATATATTGTCTGTTTGTGATGCAAGTTTTTGTAATTTTTATAAATTTATTTAATGTATATTTCAGAATTGCAAGAACTTTTGTAAAAATGTTTCGGAAAATGATTGCTTGCTATTTTATTTATGCAACGATTAGCATTTCAAGTTTACTTTTGGTAAGCTATCTCAACATCAATTATCAATTGGATGATGTCAGTTTTTTTAAATTCTTTTCTAACTTGAATAGTGCATAAATGGGCTGAGACAATCATTGGCGGCCATTCAACCATTGGCTTGTTTGAACGTGGTATTAATGTGGCTTTTTATCTATTGTTATTTCGGTGATGAACTAACAAACAGATTCGACGTCATTCAAAATAAGGTCTATCTGTGCAATTGGTATTTGTTTCCGTTAAATTTGCAGAAATGCATACCAATGATTATATTTTCGATGCATAAACCAATTCATTTACAAGGATTTGGCAGTAGTTCATGTACTCGTGATACATTTAAAAAGGTTGTTTTGATTTGATTGTGTGGAAACCGATAAAGAATTTAACACATTTCTTTTTGTTCAACCCCAGATCGTCAACGCTGGGTTTTCCTACTTTACTATGCTTCGCCAACTTAGCCCCTAAGTGTATTTGGGACTCACATCTTATGTCAAATGTGTAAACAAAACGAAAATGTATGTAAGTGTGTAAACAAAAGTAAACAACAATTGGTCACATAAAAAATTGGTTAATTTAATTTATTGTTTTGATTTATAAATTTGTTTTTTTGTTTTTTGGTTACAAACAGGTACAAAGAGTGCCTTTTCTATTAAAGATTTTTATTCTTTGAAGTATACACGTCACTTTATTATTCTACAATTTCACATTATTTTAGAGATGATTTTTATTTGGTATCCGTTTTGTCTCTGATATTTTGATTGAATTTTGTCCAATGAGTGTGGTTTCAGCTTCAGAACGAATTGATTTCCGTTTCATACTGTAACAATAATAAATTTGATCATAAATGTAATGTAACAAAAAATTTCGTGGTGTTTTCTTTTCAATTGAAATTATCTCACCTTCTTTTTTTGTGAATGCACCGCACCAAACAACATACAACAGCCGCAATAATGCATAGTGTGAAAACGATAGCGCCAACCACAGCGGCCACAATTAAGACAGGCTGTTTTATATTCACAACGAATATTTTTCGTTGAATTGAGACGGCATTGCGAATGATAACTAGGACGGTGAACGATTTAACATTCACCACGCTCTGTGGCAATTTATGTTTTTGTTGACATTCATCGATTGTAATCCATTCGTCGCACGTTTCGTTGCCTTCCAAAATGTATGGCCCGTCAATTTGTTGAATACAGTATTCGAAATTCGGTGAACCAGAGCAGAAAATATTGAGATTATAATCGTCACCATCATCAATCCAGGCTGAACCGTTAACAATCAAATTCGATATTGCATCTGTGTTTGAAAAATTAAATTTTTTTCGTTTTTATGAATGATTTATATGTTGAAGAGAGTTAGTATATACCAAAAACTGTGATATTTGTTTCAAAATGTCCGTAGATGTTCTCCCCGTCCGGTACGGTTTGGGACTTATTGCCACAAACATATGGTAGATCAGCTTTGTGCTGTGATCGCCAATTTGAAATGAGCTTTGACGTGAGCTTTGGAACTGTTATTGATGGAATCGGTTTAAAAGTTGCTTCGACCAGAGCTTCAATGCGATGCGTTCGATTTGGTTCAGTGAATATTTGCTGAGTTTTAAATTCATTTGTTTGGCGCACATAATGACAATCGACAAACCAATGCACAACAATATTTGTGGCATTTTCCAAACTATGCATATCTTCGTGCCGAATGTCAAGCCTTTGATCGAGCAAAGTTTCGGTTGAAATATTCATAGATTTGATTTGGTTTCCATCTTGTACCAATTTCAGGTCACCGTTTAACATAGCTAAAATGAATCGATCAATTTTGACTTATTTACATCCTTCGTAATAATTGAAAATAAACAACAACTTACATGTAACATTGACCTCCAATTTAGCGGTAGCCATTATATAATTAAAAAATAAATACCAATAACTAACAGTTACTTCTAATTTGTATGTTTTATTTAAATTTTTATTGGAATGCCTCGGAAAGTGATAGGTCCATTCAACATGTGGCACTGTCGATCGGAATTCCTTCAATAAGGACAAAATAAACGTTGAAATTTTGTCATTCGATTGAATGTGTGCGTGTGCGTGTGCGTGTGCGTGTGCGTGTGCGTGTGCGTGTTTGACATGAAGGTTATTATTTACTAAACGAATTACCTGTTTTTTATGATCGTCAATTAACCATTCCTATATTAATATCGGAAGAATAAATGTTATGCGTGTGACATTTTTGAATGTTTCTGTATAATTAAAATCGAATAATTTTAAATTAAAGCACAAACCCATTTTAACGTTGTATCGCCCACAGTTGCAAGCGTTCCATTCATCTCAAGTAAATCGGCTGTAAATGTAACTACAGAACCTTTGATTGCTGGTGCGTTCGATTTTAATCGCAATATATATTCTCGAGAGTATGCGACTGCGTTTCAAAGCCATCGGAATTTCATAAATAAATAGAGATAGGGAGAGAGAAACAAAAAAGTACACATTAACACACATCAAATACAAAACTCAAACACTAAATGACATTTAATGTCTGTTTAAATAGATGTCGTTCTAGTTGAGTGGAGACAATGGTTTTTGAAGCCATAAAAATTGGGCTTGTTGTATCTCGCACTTTTTTTTTGCTTCTTTCGATCATATTTTCCTTTAAATGAAGAATTTGATATTTGTGCACACCAGTATATTTTTTTAACGAAAAATAATTTCCACGGAACATTTCAAATTTATCATAATGCTTTTATGAATTGAGAAACTATTTCTTGTACGTGAACAAACACCATATTTCTCCTTCGAGCGTTTCTCGCTATTAACACTCACTTTGAAGATGTATAGCTAAAACAAAAATTGTCGTCGTCCAAATCATCGTTTAATTTTTTTTAAATAATCAAATAAATGGGGTGAAAAAATGTGGTTTAAAAAACAATTTCCGGCGAAAAGAAGTTGAATTAATTCGTTGCACAAACATTCGACGAAAAACAAAGCGAATGTGAGAAATTTAAATTGTATACGAATAATTCATTCTCATCGCTTGGAGTATGCGCAAAAACTGAATCGTAATGATTGCGTGGTAGCAAATATGAAGCTAAAAAACAACAACAGTTGATCGAATGTATGCAACGCTCCCGTTCGCAAACAAGTTTCACTTGATCGATCGATCATTTGACGGATCACACGCTGAAATGTTTCTGTTTATCTATTTCGACATAACGACAAATAGTCGATAGTTTTAAATTATTATTAAATTAATTACTATAGTTATCTGATCTCTCTCTCTCTTTCAGCCAATGTGTGAGTGTCGTGGTTGAGGCAAAGAAAAAAACGTTCGATTCGAAATGATGTTTACATCGTACAATGTTTATGGTTGTTTAATCTGTTAGAACTTGAAAATGAGTGTCTCTCTTCCACTGCCGTTACTGAATATTCGTTTTGTACAATAATACAAGGCAGTCCGCTCTGGTTCAGTACAGTATTCTCATATCATTTTGTTATTTTTAAATGCATGAAGCTCAACAGGTAATTACCATTATTTACTCGCTTCATTCATATCGAATGACCAAAGAACAATTGGAAAAACAACGTTACAGCATAATAATGTTTGTGCGCATATACGCTACCGAAGAGACAATTGTGTCGCATTTCAGAACGGTCGCGTGCCGACCGTTTGAATTCAACCACAGCCAAACGAATTCGCGGTAAAGTTGTAAACCTTAAAAATGCACATTTCACAATACAATTAGTGGCAAGAAGGTCAATGCAACTGTGCAAATTTGCAACGAGTGTAACGCTACAAAATTCAAAAGTTGCACAAATAAATCACCGTCCGTTCGCGCCACATCAATCACAAATACACAAAAACCTCGTACATAAACAAATCAATCCAACAGAAAAAAAAAAAAAACAATTTTTAAACGTCATTTTTTTTTTTTTGCATTTTACGCACCCGACAAGCCAATCATTAACACGTAACATCGCGCTAAAGTTCGCAAAACCGCATTGACGATCATACCATATTTGTTTAGATCGCATCGAACACAATGATTTTTATATTTATATGGCTCGATTTCAAACGGAGAAATTAATTATACACGATATATATATGCGACTTTTTGCCAACGATAATTACGATTCTGATCTTTTATCAACTACGATTGCGAATTGCTTTTACTTTCATTGGAAAATGAAAACACAAAAAAAATGTTGTGCAAACAGTTTCAATGAACACAAGATCATCTTTGAGCTTAGAGAGAGAAAAAATCGAGATTTTCAACTCCATAATTTTTGTTTTATAATTCTAGTTCTAGAAATCTTTGTACGAATGATCCAATTACGATTTCTATGGCATTTCTCAATGATAATTCAATGAAAATCTACAATGAAAATTATCGGGTTTTTTTCTCTTTGAACGATTACTAATAAAAATATCATTGTATTCAAATTTAGTGTTCTTTTAATTGAATTGTTTTCTTTAGTCATCATCGCAATTGATCACAAATATTCGTAATCTATAACTTGGAATTCTTTCTTGATTTTATAGCAAAAATCATTTAAATTGAGCTTTTTTTGAGAGAAATTATGTGAAATGATTGGAATGAGGCGTAATGCATTAGTCTATATCACAATATATGTAGATTAGAGTGTTTCCCATATCTATAATTAAAAAAATGGTATTTTTCAATTTAAAGAGCATAAAATTCTGTTTTAATTCGTACCATTAATGTAAAGCACCGATTGATATTGACACTTCCCGAAGCAAAAAACTCTTTAGAGCAAAAATTGTCTAAGGTCTTAATATTGAATTAGTATTATTGATGTGAACCGAGCCTTATGACATTTGACGATCATTTCATTGGTTTTCGAAATGTCATAAACGCCGCTTCATTCATACCGAGAACACATTATTTTCGATATACGTGCATTTTGTATCGATTTGATCCGAACTTTCCACACTTGATCAATCGATTGACAAATTGTTGAATTCAAGTCACCAGTGTGAGTACACTTAATCATTTTATTACCGTGAAAAATATTGGTTAATTCATCAATAAAAAATATTATTTTTAATGAAAAATCAAAACTTGAATTACGTGCTTACGTGCAGTTATTCCTCTTGTTCTTATTGTGAAATTGATTTTTATTTCATAGCACGTAATATAAGCCATCTATAACGTGAAATATATTTAAGTAGTCTAATAATCATTTAACGTTGAACATATAGTATCATTTCATGAAAAAAGTAATGAATTTCACAATTATTCTGCAGTACATAATTCTGTTGCGTGAGGTGGTGAAATTCATTTCAAGCGGTGATACCCATTTTGAATTGGTTCCATTGTTCAGAGAAGAGAAACAGTTATTGTTTGGGCTCAAATTGAATCTGAATACTCGATAGTATGCGTTACATTGTTTTCTTCTCTAAATCACTGCCATTGTTATCAATCCGAAGATTTTTGTCATTTTTGTGTGCTGCATCATTTTGTGTGTGTACCAAAAAAGGAGATAGATTCTTGTTCTGTTGTCGCTCGAAAAAATTGAATTTAAAACATGTGTGTGCGTGTGTGCATATTTGTGCAGGAGATTTATTCATTCATAAATATGTATATTCGATATTTTTGTGTCTCAGCCAGGTATCATTAATATGAAAAATCATTTAGTAAAAAATATCGATATGGATCAATGAAAATGTCTAAATATCGCCAATCCAATAGTATTCGTTTTTAAACTAAATCAAATGTGTGTGTTTTTTTCAATAGAAAAATGGCAAATCGTTACAAGCCGTCTCTACCAGCTGAGGGAGAAAAGAAAGATGAGATAACGACGATCAAATGTGCACTGAAATCAATAATTCGGCCGCCATACCAGCAGGAACTGATCGGCAAAATAACTGATCTAAGTCTACAGGCTACAATGATTTGCAATTTGGGTTCGTTGCTGTTCTTATTAGAGGTGCAAAAGGCATATGAACGTAGGCATCAACAATGGTGATTTCAGCTTCTTTGCCAATAGCGGGGAAGAAAAGATCAACACATGCTTCAGTCAAGTGCTAGCAAAGCACAACCCAACAAATGTAATTATACACTAAAATCAACTATGGATAACATGGATTTTACAGTTCTATTTTAATTAATATATTGATTTCAATCCAAAATTCATTTTATTTTCGCATCCATTCTAACTGATTTTTTTCTCTTTTTTCATTCCATTGTAATTTACAATTGTAAATTAATTTACTACCGAAGCCGAAGCCGAAAAAAACACCAAAGCCGAAGCCAAAGCCAGAGCCAGAGCCAAAGCCGGAGCCAGAGCTACCATCAAAGACTAAACGGAAACCCCGTGGACCAGCAAAAGAAATTCCACCAATCGATCCAGAATTCAAGGCAATTGTGGAAGGTCTTGATGAGGTCCATCGCTTTGATTGGCCCAACAACAAAGATTTCGGTAATGGCCTCAAACATCTATGCAATCAATACATAGACAACAATGTCACCAATTCGCAAACACATGCTGATAAACACATAACTCAATATCTGAAGATGAAAGTGTTTCAGATGAACACAAATGAAGCCATTGAAGAGAAATACCTGCCAAATGACATCGACTGTGTGGTGAAACTCATTCTCAAGGAAAAGGTATGTTGAAAATGTTTATTCAAATCATGAAAAGAACTGAGTTTTCAATGGTTCATATTGTTTAAGCTTACAATGGTTTTTTTTTTTTGACTCGTTGACAAATTTTTTTTAAAAATGACTTTAATCTAATTCCCTTTTTTTCATTGAAAAAGGTCATCAAAGTGCCAGCTAGTGACCCAAATAAACTTTATCGGTGCGGAGTTTTGTATGACATCGTCAATAAATTGAATGTGTTCCCGGAAATCGACCTACATGATCTCACGACTAATTCAAAAAATTGGTTCAAAGCTGTGCCGATGTATCTATCTATGCAACGCGAGATAGAAGAATTTAATTTGCTGCGAGCACATCAAGAGCCACCGAAGAAACGCAAAAAGAGAAAGCGCAGAAGACCGAAGGGTAAGAAACGACAGTGGATCATCAAACGAAAACAAATGATCGACGATTTGGAATATCTACCGTGCATTCGCAATTTGGTGGTAGTTCCGATGTGTGATTTTCGGCGTACGCATTTCAAAATCGACTGTTCGAGTATGTATCAGATCTTGTCTTCTCAAAAATTGATTCCGAAACAGTTAACTGAAGACGGAAAACCAAGTGACAAAAATATTTCACAAAAGGTTTTCAACGAGAATAAAGATTACATATGGAATCAGTATTTTTACATGCGTAAAATTCGGTGGTTTGTGCGCCGCAAAAAGAAATTTGACTTTTCGATAAACAGCGATGGAATTGCTGTGTCTCTGCAGTATTCCACCAAAAAGAAGGAGACCAGCAACACACAATCGGGCACCAGTCGATTGGACATCACTGACATGTTGAAGGCGGGCAAATTCAAAAGATTGGGAGGTACAGATTCAGGCATGCGGAACTGGAATACCACAACAATACATGAAATTGATACTTGCAAAGAAGTATGTGTAGTATACTAAAATACAATGATGCACATTGTGTTTAAGTTCACTAATTATTTTTGTTTTTTTTTTTTTCGATTTATTCGCAGATCAACTTTGTTAAAAAGAGTAAGCAGTTCCATTGGGAGACACATCAAAACGTACGAAACGCAAAAGCGAAGCGATTCACGAAAAATTTTATCGAGAAAGAAAGACAAGATCGAGAGAATCGTGAGCTGTACGCAATGATGCCATCACCAAAAGGTTCACAGTGGCTGAGCTATATTAAACATCGAGTTAAGATGACCAAACATGGAATCGAAGCTTACTCGACTGCAAAGTACACTAGACTCGCCTTGGACAAATACATTGGGAGCAACAAAGTTATCGACGGATTTGTGAACAAGATCACCAATAAGGAACCGACTCTGTTATTCCATGGTGCTGATGGCGAAGTACCACCTGATTGCCCGATAAGAATTAAAAAACACGTGCGGTGTCCGGGTGTACGCAAACTGATGCAGGCATATAAGAAGCGACCATACATTGTTGTCGTGCCGGTGGACGAATGGGGAACATCTCAAACAGACGCAAGATGTATGTGCCGATTCCAAAACCAACCCAAATCGGCCAAATTCAAGATGTGTCGGTGCATACCCAACGCCATAACACTGCTGCCAACCAAAATTGTGTCTAAGTTTGGCAAGACAGATACATCTACATATCGACAGTTACAACGCACATTGAACGGAGCATTTGAAATAGAAGAGGAGCTAATGTCAAGAGTAAAACCTTACTACAAAAAATGGCAAGTAGACCTCGAATGCACCGTGACTTGGCATCGTGACGTCGTGGCTGCTAAGAACATTCTACTGAAAGGTAAGGATATTGATACACAATGTGATTGAATGATCGCAAAAAAAGATTCATTTTTTCGATTAATCAGGACTATGGACATTGCTTGGACTTCCAATACCTGCTGCAATCAACCGATATTGGAATCAAATCAACGCCGATGCCGCCGTCTTCGACGACGATAACGACGTGGACATATCCGAGCCCGAGTTCGAATAGCAGCCAACTAATCATCACAATACCATACAATAAAATAAAATAAATCATAAGTAACATTCGTTACGTAACTGCTATCCCGAATATGTGGGTTAGTTATGCACAAAAAAAGTCATTTCCCATTTGGTTGAGATGGCTGTGCGGGAGTACAAACAGAGCGTTTTTCGATTGTAAGTATCATTAGATTTTGAAAACAGTTTTTTGCTTCGGGAAGTGCTAACATCAATCGCTTCGTTGTATAAATGCCATTAACTAACATAGAATTTGCCTACTTTAAATCATACAATACATTGTACTAACTGGTCAACTGAGCTGACAGTACGTTAGCCAGCTAAATGGGCTAAAACAATAAAAGTTATTGTTATAATGATCAATTACTTTTATTAAAACAATAGAAGTGATTCATCATTATAACAATAACTTTTATTATTTTAGCCCATTTAGCTGGCTAACGTACTGTCAGCTCAGTTGACCAGTTAATACAATATATTGTCTGCTTTAAATTAATAAATACCATTTTTCTATTTACAGATATGGGAAACACCCTAATGTAGATACATATAAGCAGTAGAATATCCAATCATTTTTGAAATATCATAAAAGCCTCTCTAAGCAGCCGAATGGCTACTTTGGTGTTTGGCTCGACTAAACTTCAATTGAATTTTCAACTGACTTTTATGGCACTTCTTCAACGATCAGTCATATCGTAAAAAAAACCATTTTGCAAGATTAATGCTACTGTTGCCAAATAATTTATGGCAACATATTTCATACTAATGATGAATTAAATCAGAGTGTACAATTTACTGTAATAAACTTTAATTGGTCGATTGTTGTGCACGTTTATCTTCTGCATCTGTAATAAGTGATCATGATCGAACAAAACCAGTTCTTCATTTGATTGATTCAAATTCTGTATGATAGTTTTTTGTTGTTGTTGCTGTTATTATTTCATCGCATAATACCAATTGCATAATACAGATCGAAAAGTGTTACTTTGTGTATTTGTTGACGCAGTTATTTTATGATTGCATTGCATTCATTAAATTTGGAATACATGCAACAGTTTTTTTAAATGTACTTTTGGATTTTTGGTTAATTGTTATAAATTGTTACAGATTGAATATGCTTAGCAGAAAGTTTGAATTCGTATTTTTGTTTACATTTTGATATCAACATTTGGTTTTAAATCTGTTCAAAAAAAGTGAACGTTTCTATACTAATTTAACACATTGTGCAAATATATCTTAATTCTCAGAACTTCAAATAATTAAATACCTGTTAAAACTCACGTTGCAGAGAAAATAAACACCAAACTCAAATATAGAATTTTTACTTTGCTCATCATTTTTTCGATAGCATTTCTTCGGAACTTTAAATTTCATGTTATGACGTTATGCTTATGTGACGTCTTTATGAGTTGGTAACAGTCTGTATTCTTTGGTTAAACTTTCCTTTTCTCTTCCAAGAACATCATTTACACCTGTATAATTGGATACAAATGCTTCCTATATTGACAAGATAACATTAGATGAATTTATTTTTTTTGCAGTAAATTTGAATTGATTTTTTGTATAAAAGACCGATGATAGATTATTAAGATCATCAGTTAATCCGATTAGATTGATAGCATTCAAACGTTCACTAATCAAACTTTTTTTTGTTGCAAAAATGAAGACAACTATTGCATTTGTACTATTCAGCTGTTTTATCACTTCACTTCTAGGCATTCGACAACAATCAAGATTGTTCAACCGATGTTTGAGACAGGCCTCTAAATAAAAATGATATAAAGTGTCTTGGAAACAAAGATACGGTAAGATTGCGAACGATTCATAAATTCAAATAGATTTTCTATTGCTTCTTAACAATATGATTTTTTCTTTCTTCAGGACGTGTTTTTGTCAACTCAAGAAGAATACTTTATATGCTGCGTCTCCACTCCGATGGTAAGTGTCAATAGTTGAATATCATTTTAAAATAAAATGTCTTAACTACATCCGTAAGATGGACTTTTCCGCACTGTGATCCACAACATGCATTTATTACATATATTTTACTTAAATTTGAATTCAAGAGAAAAATAAATCTGACATTAGTTTTGCGATACAAATAATTTTTGACACACTTTTTATACAAAAGCTACTAAAAATGTGAATTTTTGTATGGAAGCCATACCTATATGATATCGTAATAATGTGAAAATTTGCAGAGGTCATTTTTTTCACAAAAAGCTAACATTCTGAAAGTTTTAAGAAATTTCAATGCATATTAGGGGTACTTCCCATACAAAATTTCGTTTTGAAGCGAAAAATCCAAAATTTTGCTTCCATACAAAAATCGAATTTTTTTGAAATTTTTGTATGAAAAAATATATTTGTATCGCGAAACTAATGTTATATTCGGTTTTCTCGTGCCAAAAAACCCCCAATACATATTTTTGAATGTTTAAGTATACATCAAATAGATCAAATACGACTTTTGGAAGAAAATTGAATTTTTCCCATGGATGGCCATGGGCATCACACCAGACATGACACTTCACTCTATCACTCTATCACTCTATCAACCAAAGTCGCTCAACATTTAATGGTTTCTATTCCTCGGCACCCCCAATCATCCTGTGAACTCAGATTTTGAATTACTTTTTTGTTTGAAAATTATCGTGTTAACAAATTTTCGCGTACAGGGTACAGGGTACAGCGTATAGGGTACAGGGTACGCACATACATTCGGACATCGAAAAAACGCTTGATTCGTGTTCTCTGGCCCCAAAAACACCCAGAAAACACATTTTTGGTGGGTGTTTCGACCGATTCCAATACTTTACCTTACACACTAGGTGTGTGCGGAAAAGTAAAAATGTGAGTAAATTGAATGTTTCTATTCTAAACAGATTGAAAATGGACGACTGATTGTAGAAAAAGTTGAAAAAGTAATTGAAGAGATATTCCTTCAATTATAAGTTCATGCGAATCAAATGAACAACTTATTTCAACCAATCTTGGGACATCGTGTGAAGAAACCGCTCCATTTATATGTATTACACTGATAATTATTTTAATATCGAGTCTACTTTGATATTTGATTTTTTCCCAGATTCATTGTGTTTTCGCAAAATCGATTCAAGCGAGCAAAGCCAATATTCAAGGCCTTGCCGATGATTTAAAATCAATTGAAATAAGGCCATTCAGACCTCTTGCCAATTTGCTGGACTTTTATATTTCCACTTTGATCCAAATAAAGCTTGAAAATAAATACCATTTATAGATGTTCAAATCAGTTTTTTTATATTATTCTTTATAAAATACATGTAATAAATAAAATAGATGAAATGGACATATTACATCAGTACTCCAAAGAAGTGTTTTGTACTTATTAGTGTAATCTTTCAATTTTCGTTTGGTTTTTAGTTGACTTTTATAATATTTTTTCTCTTCACTTTGCTGATTGGAAAACAAATGCTCACACATTAAGACAACAGAACAAACAAGAAGAAGGAGGAGATAGAGAGAGAAATGGAAAGACCATCGCACAATATTTGCATTCAAAAACATTTCATTTTGATAATGTGATTAAAAAGAAAATTTTGGATTAAGTTTTAGAATTTGGTTTTGATATTAAATTACTATTATTGCTACATTTTAACGTTTGAAAAATCTATTTATTTTCGATAAATATATTAATTTAACTGACATTAATTAATCGACATTTTCACTGAGGTATTTTTTTATTATTAAAATAAAATTGGTAAATTGGTCGAAATGTGGAATCCAAATTTATTTAATCGGGAACATACATCGTAGCGTCATTTAAACCACTTGAACTTTCGTGTATATTGTTGGTGGTATGAGGTTGCAATGGTGTTGTGTCATATGGTGCTGATGGTGCCGATGGTGCCGGTGGTGTATAAAACGATTTGTTTTTGCCATCTTGATCCATGGTTGCCAATTTATTCGAATTGCTTCCATCACCCGGGTAGGGTGACGGTGGTACATACGAAGCCAACCTGGCTTCAAGATGCACGTTTTGGCTCAGATGTTCTGGGTATGCTCTGACACTATCTGGGTCATATTTGTATCTATTTTTATCTATTACACATGTGCATATTATGTGTGAGATGAAAATTGAATGTGCCGTAAAGCAAATCATTATGGGAGCCACTGCAAAAGATATATGAAAATACAATTAAACTAATTTGAAAAAAAAATGAGAATTAAAATTACCGTAAATTTCAATCCAAAATTTATAAGAGACAAGGGTATAAGAAATGAGACCTATTTGAACCGGAAAAAGCCATATCATCTCTATCCATAAAAACCAAAGTACATCCTATTCAAAAATTAAAAGTAAAAGAATTAATTTCACTACTCAATGTTTGTTTGATCAAAATTAATGTACCTTCAATATAGCGGGAATCGATAAGCCCAACAATATACAATTAATTACTGAAATTGAAAATAATTAAACATTATTTGCGAAATTTTACTTTTACAGGAAAATAGTTTTTCTATATTTTGACAAACTTACGAAGCAGAGTAATAACCAAATACTTCATTGGGTCGTTGCTCTTAAGTATGTAAGAAATGGCAAGACAAGCATAAACACACATGAGTACTATGCCCATACCAATACTCAACTCTCGCCTGTACTTATACAATTCCTTCCCCATCGTCGCTAGATATTACTATTTAATTTTTGCTTGATGAAATCGCTCAGTTAATAGAGTAGAAAAGTTCAGTAGTCAGCTTTCTTTCGTATGTTTTTAGAACTTGAGTTTCGCCAGATCACGTCTATTTCGATCTAAAAAAATAAGACACACTAGAATTTTATATAACAACGCCGATATAAAAAATGAAAATTTGGGAACACTGGCGTGAAACTCAAAAAAACAAGAGTAAAACTGCTTGTTTCTCACAGAGAATAAAAATAGCGATATTCTCATACAGAGGTTGTGAACTGTCAAGTAACCACCAATACTATCAACGGCATAGTGATTTTTGTATGTATTATACTATACTACGCATTCAATCCGGCGTTTCATTGGAATGCTTTGCGTTGTATGCTAATACGCACTTTCAGTGGCTTTAGTATAAAATAGTCAAATTTTATACTCACATAGTAAACAGTAGATTTATACTTGTATTAGTATATCGATGATTAGACGGACACAGTATAAATCGCAGTGTGATGTTTATACTGTGTCCGTTTAATCGTTCACTATGACTATAATAATACAAGTATAAATCTATTGTAATACTGTGTGAGTATAAAATTTGACTGTGCGTATTGGCATACAATGCAAAACATTCCAATAACGGTCAACAAAATCAGTATTATTATACTTTTTCCTGTCTTTTATTTATTCGCTTTTATTTTTGGGCAGCATTATTCATTTACTAGATTGTATCCATTTTAAATCTAAAAAGAGTCAACTAAGAGTTTAATTAAAGGGTTTAATTAAAATCTTCTAAGAACAAAAGTAGAACTTTTTTGTATTCTTCTATAAATAGCTGCGACTACGTAATATTTCCAGCGTTCGTGCTTCGATGATGTAATCCATACTTCCGCGTCAACAATATGGGTTCTAGCCGAACCGCTATACATTGCGTACATCAATGCGGTATCTTATTGATATTCTCTGCGTAGCACGTTAAGTTTGTTTTTTTCACAAATTTTGCACAGATCGCACTGAATAAATAAGTTGAAGAATGGTATCGAAAATATATTTTACGCTTAATATTATTACTACATTTTAACGATTAAAAAGTCTTTTTATTTTTGATAAATACATTATAATCGACATTTTCACGGAGTCATTTTTCATTATAAATAAAATGTCTTACATCCGTATCTGTGATCCACAACATGCATTTATTACAAATCTTTTACTCAGAGAATTCACGAGAAAACTGAATCTGATATTAGTTTTACGATACAAATAATTTTCGAAGCACTTTTCATACAAAAACTACTAAAAATGGGAATTTTTGTATCGTAGCCATGCCTATATGATATCGTAATCATGTGAAAATTTGCAGAGGTTATTTTTTTCACAAGAAGTTAACATTCTGAAAGTTTGAAGAAATTTCAATACAAAATTTCGTTTTTGAGCGAAAAATCCAAAATTTTGTTTTGTTATGCATTGAAATGTCTACAAACTCTCGGAATGGTATTTTTGTGTGATCAAAATAACCTGTGCAAAGTTTCAGCTCATTACGATATCATACAGGCATATGCCATATGGCTTCCATACAAAAATCCAATTTTTTGACATTTTTGTATGAAAAGTGTGTCGAAAGTCGCTCAAAATCTAATGGTTTCTATTCCTCGGCACCCCCAACCATCCTGTGAAGTCAGATTTTGAATTACTTTTCTTGTTTGAAAGTTATCGTGTTAACAAATTTTTGCGCACAGGGTACCACGCTCATACATTCGGACATCGAAAAAGCGCTAGTTTCGTGTTCCGTGGCCCCAAAAACACCCAGAAAACACATTTTTGATGGGTGTTAATTTTTCGACCGATTCCAATACTTTACCTTACACACTAGGTGTGTTCGGAAAAGAAAAATAACATTTGTCCAAAATGTGGAATTCAAGTTCACTTAATCAGGAGCGTAGATTTGAGCGTCATCTTGACTTATAGTTGAATATAAGTGATTGAATTTCATAGAAATATGTCATAGTCAGTCAGCCAATCAGTCGTTTTTTTCCACACAGGCTGATAAGAATATTGCTGATAACACAGATGATTCCAAAGAATATCAAGTACAATCAGTATCTCATCTACTCTATCTGTTAAAAAATAATTCAAGTTTCAGTCACTTATGATACCTTCATAGTAACACACTTTGTTTTTGTCCTGTTCCGATTTTTATATCATTTTAGCTATTGTTGAATTATTTGTTTAACATTTTGTGATGTTAATAATGTTTTGATTTGGATTCAATTCATAAAAAAATACAATAGTATTGATCTCATTCTTTGATTTATGTCAAATTTTAATTTGCCTATATACTTTTTAGCGTTATTTATCACGCTGTGCTTTTCGATTAACTGTAGAACAACAAAATATTTTGGACAGATAACATAAAACTCTAAATATAAATTTGGGAATCTTCTAAAATGTCCGGTTTCATTTCAATTCGCAAATCAATTCGCTGGCTTCCGGGTGTGATGAATGAGCCAACTTCCACGATTGTGTTGACTTCTCCACAGAGAAGGTTCGTCGATTTACGTATTTTGAAGGATGAAAACGGTAGCATCGAAGGTAAAACCACATAAATTGATTGGGGTACTTCTCACTTCGAAAAAATCGTGAATTTTATGGATATTTAAAGAGTCTGCATTTTTTTTTTTGGATTCGCAAAAATATTTCGAATTCAAGAATTTTTATGAATTGGCATAAACTATGGATATGCGTGAATAAATCCAGAAAAATACCGAATATCAATGGATTTTTGAACGTGAAAATCCCTAGAAATCTCCTTTGAACTTAAAATCTACTAATTTCAAACTTTAGGTGGAAGCCTTCCTCTCAGTCTCTCTAGGTTGGACTGGGCGATAGCAGGAACATCATCCAGCACTACTACCTGCGACATTGAGGGAAAACAAGTGTCTCGCTCTCGATGGGTTCACTGGATTGATTCACGAACCAGTACGACAGAAAATGTCACCGACGAAGGAGATATGTTCACTCAGCTGGATGGAACTACCATAGAAAAAGGCTATATGATGAACCCTGATACAGGAATTAACACTGCCTATGAGGAAGTTTGGGATGACGAAGACGTTCACTCCACTGATACGGCTCAGGTCTGTGTTGTGCTGAAGTACGAGAATTTTGATGATAGGGGCTTGGTAATCAGATTGGGCAGGTATTCTCAGGGTTTCATGAAGATAGGAGAGCAGACATCTCTAGAAAGATGGGAATGGATCGATCGGGCGGCTTGTAATGTCAGAATAGGAACGGACGAATTACCTTGTAAACTGGCGATGGAAAAAACCTTTTTGCTTGGCGAAGAGGTGCAGGTGGCTGGTAGATCATGGATAGTAGTGGAAATAGCATAACGCACTACCATCACTTGCTTTCTATATCACCTGTATATTTTTTTTGAGCTTCACGTTCCGAGCGACATCTCTATGTGCTTGGCATTGAACTCGCGATCCAAACGAGCACCACAGGCAATTAAAACATTTTTTTTTTTTGGTGCGAAAAAGTCAAAAATGTCAACTGATTTTGTGTGAAGAAAAACCATGTGATATGCAACGTCCTCGCAGTTAATTTCGATGACACAAACTGTGCAAAGTAATTTCAATTTATTTTCCATCACAAATTCACTAAATACAAATAATAAATCGGTTTTTGTTCAATTTACACGGTATATCTTTATCGAGCGTAAAATGACAGACGTCACAACAAATGATTCCGTATTCAAACTTCAAACAATTAACATTCTACACAAACTTTTTGTTCTAATTTTCATGAGCACATAGAGATGGCGCCATCATGCAGTTTTTTACATTATTTGCCATTGTAAGTGATGGTAGATAACGCATGAAATATTTTTTCTTACAATTATGACGAACATTTTTTTATTTATAAGAGTGTTTAATTGATATGCTGAATTACAAATTATGCCCTGCGTTGATTTGAGATTGTTTTGTGTATAATCAATACCGATAGTCATTGAAACGATGCTTAATAAAACATGCTAAAAAGTATATGCCCAAATTGCGTTTGATTGACACCTTTCTTCTGATGAAGAATGTACAATGTACATTATGTAATTAGAAAGACCAAATGCGTGAATTTAAACAACAAAAGCAATGCGCACAATGTAAGTGGATCGACCGAACGATACAAACGACAAATGCGTAATGGTGATAATAGCTAACTTATCTGACGTATAGTTTTATGTCTATGGTCGTAATCAGTTATAGTCAGAGAAGAGTCCCTTGTACAACGACATAATGATCGGACCATAGGCGACGATAGAAAGCATGTTTTCTAATTGAATCAACTGATAATTTTGGCAACTGATACATGGGCTTTTATACAAAATAATTGGTTAAAATTGTCTTCCGTGGAATTTTTCTTTACAATTGTTTTATCACTTGCTTCTATATTTCTGATGGCGAGTTATTTCATGGACCGATCAACGTAACGAATGTATAATGACATCAATGTCGTCATAATATGACATTCTTCTTTATTAGATGAAAGGAAATAAAAGCAATTTATTTATTTTGAATTGGATGTTTACCTTCTTTGCAATATATTTGAATTCGATGTTTATTTTGATACTCATTGAACATATGTGAATAGCATTCAAGTAAACAACATGACTCAGGCTTAAAAAAATATCCAATAGTTTTTGTCCAATTCTGATCCTCTCTGGGAATTTGATGGTCGATGTCATAACATAGTTCGAAATTTTTACAACTTCAAATTATGGCATCGGTCAAAAAAAATGTTAGAAAGGAACAACAAGCCTTATACACAGAAATACAAGATATGCTTCATTAATGGAAAGAGAGATAGAGAGAGAGAGAGAGAGCTATTTATTCCCTTCATCTGGTGAAGCCCAATGATGTCATTATGAATTCGTGACGATGATTCAAATTCGGCCTTGTCGAAAAAAAAAAAACAACTGAAAAATATATTTGCGAAAAAATGCACGAAAAAAAATATAATAGGCCATATAGTAGTAACATATGTTTTAACAATAAAATATGTCATTTCATTTCTTGGAATATTTCTGCACCTCTGTTACACATGGCTATGTACAAATGTACATATCAATTTTATTAAATCATTAGTTCTCATTCAAGAGAAATTGTTATTTTTTTCGAGAGATAAGCAAACAATTTTAACCAATTATTTTGTATAAAAGCCTATGTATCAGTTGCCAAAATTATCACTTGAGTCAATTAGATTGAAAGCATTCAAACCTTCTTAATCAGCAAAATTATTCAAGCTATTTAAATAAAATGAAGACGATTTTATTCATTGCTCTTATTGCAGCCAGCACCTTTGCCGCTCCTTCGAACGATTCAAAAATGGTAGGATTTATTTATATGTTTGATCGTGTTTTTACTATAATTTAATATTCTTTTCGAATTTTTTTAAAAATATTATAGAGTAAAGAACAAAAACAATTCTACGAAGAATGTTTGGAAAAATCCGGTTTACCTGAAACCGATGCCAAATCTTTCAGAAACAAATCGCCTGTAAGACCATTTTCATTTGAATTTTTTTTTGCTTGGATGTTTAATATAGTAATAAGGTTTTTTCTATCTCAGGATGCAATCTTATCAGGAAAAGAGCAAAAATTCGTTTGCTGTGTCTCTGAACCGATGGTAAGTTTCATTCAATTACTATGTCAAAAATCAAAACAACCATATCATTAACGAATAATTCGTTTTGCTTTGGGCAGATTAAAAATGGTGAACTGGATATGGAAATAGTGAAAGGTATTGTTAAACAACACGGCAATCGCAACATTGATGTCAATTCAGCTGTAAAATCGTGCGAATCGAAAGGTTTTAATTCAAGCAATTTGGAATCGTCGGGTCCATCATGTGCACATACTGCACAGTTCGCTCATTGCGTCTTTTCAAACTTACGCAAATCCAATGAAGATAATAAATCATATTAAGTTTTTAATTTGAACGAAATTCACACACACAGCACACAAACGTCCATTGTAATACAGAAAAAACGAGCAAAATAAAATTTAATGGAAAATAATGTACTTTTTTCTTTAATTTGAAATATATCTTTGAACATATTAACCATTAAATCGTCAACAGTTTTTTTTAGCTTAAAACATTCAACATTCATTGCTTTATCAGAATTTCTCGCTTCAAACTCAAGAATAATATATTTAAAAATTAAAATGAATTTAAAAATTAAGTATGTGAACGCGAGATCATAGACATACTCTTCATTAAGGCTTCATATTTTATATGTAAATATGAAAGTCATTGTTTATAAACAAATACATACACATGTATAAACATTTTGGGCAATGTATTTGAATTCAATGCATATTGTATCGATCTTACATAAACACACACGCACACAACAGCACACAAATATGCAACATAAAGAAGTTTAGGAACACGATTTTTGCCTTGCCTTGTGTGCATCCCGTGTAGTATACGGGCGCTAATTTGAAGTCGCAGGCACTCTTATT